AAAGTTCCTTTTGCGCTATCGAAGTAGTCGGCCGGTATCTTTTTCAGCATGTTCTTAGGAAGTTGGACATGTCGGTATTCGAATTGATCATCGGAGTATCTAGAAACCAGAGGACGGTGAGAACAGCCCATACATTCCTGGTCGAATTCATTACCTGGCAGAGTAGTGTATAGAGTCAATGAACTCTTCGAGTCTCTCACGTTCTGATTCTAGTAATAGACGTGGCTTTTTGTTTCTTCTGCTCATATCGATATCCATCTGGAACGACGAAGGGGTTGATGACACAGTACAGACAAAGTATCCTAGTCCTAAGCAAGATAGTCAGGTTAGTGGTGAAGAATTCGAATTTTATAAGCAGAAGATAATCTGTGGTTCTGTATGGAAACTCACGGTTCAGGCAACAGTAGACTGCAACAGGCGCAGGAACCGGAACAAACAGTAAGATTTAGACACGGTTACAGTGCGATCAGAATCACTCCAATGACCTGGGATGTAGTAGAATCCTGATAGGCATGCAAGATTTGTGATTATTCTCGGGCCGAGGGAGAGAGAATTGGAAGGGGTCGACTAAGTTAACCAAGTGGCTTTGCAACTCTTTGGGATACTGCTAGTGGGATTATCCAGGTTAATTTCAGTGCCTGAGGTGTCGACCATATAAGATGGAAATATCTCTACCGAATAAGTCATATACCCTTATTCAAACACTACATACTCGCATCTCTCTATTAGAACAAAAGCTTCTGAGCATATTGGATAGTGCTAGACACTTTCTTCCTCCAATTGAGGTTTCGCTAGTTGTGAGGAGATTGCGCAAGACCTATGTAATATCAATAACATGTAACCAATCTGATAGTTAACTGGAAACCTCGCAACAGCTAGAGCAGCATGACAAAAACAATACCTCTTGTTTCTCTGTGTATGCTTTCATGGGTACATCGAATGCTTCGTTCTATTGTCCAAAGGACACATCTGATCTTGCCGGGAGAAGGATAGGTTTAGAAGCCTGGAGGCTGACTCGATTTGAGATACCTCTAGTATTGGAATATCTTCATGTTCTATGACAGTGTACTACACTTGGTAGCCTGGGTTTTGTTTGAACCGCAGCTGATAGCTTGTGCCATCCTAGCAAATGCCATATGATTATACCACTCTTTTTAGATAGGAAAATGGGTTAAATAGCCTTCTAGACAAGAAAAAGTTGCCTCTGACCAGGGTTCTGGTTTATGCCCTTCTGAATCAAAGCAATTTCTGCGAATATTACACACTGTCCCATTTAGATATCTTATCCATCGCTACGCTGTATTCTGTAATACATTGTGATTGTATATTGCCGATATAAGATAAATCGACTGTTATACCTATAATAAATCCAGCAAGGGACTGATTGCGAGAAAATCACATAAGTAGAAATTGTATTGACTCGGGTATACAAAGCTGTGTAGACGTTCAAAAATATGAGGTCTTATGTGTTATTCAGAATGTACTATATAGTTCTATACCAGGCTTTAAGACCTCATCTATAGCAAGTCTGTAATGTGAATTCTAGAGTTCTTTATCATACTCCGTATATTCTTTGTATCTTATGTTTCCATTTTGCAGATTGTACTTGTAGGAACAGAATATGTTATCAGTAGCCTTTCACTTAGTACTCCCTTATTACAAAATAGTCAGCAACATAGCGGTTTATAGTTGGTTGATGACACCTCTAGGCAGCTGCTTAGTACTTTTACGGCTGTGAGGAATAATGTGTGGACTGTGAGGATAAATTGAGGCCTAGGCTTACTAGAATACTAGGCCTGACTGGATAAGTATCCATAGCCTGACAGCTGGCCATACCTGAAATGGCAAGGAAGAGGCTGCGTATTGAATATGCTCAGTTCCAAGTTGCCAGTCTTGACTGAGGTTATGGCTAGATGACCTAACCTAACAAGCAACTAACTAGTCAACATAACTTGACCTGACTTAGCTAATTACCGAAGCGCAACGGCGATTACTAAGGGTTGAGTTTTACTAAGATAGTAGGTCATCTCAGCCGAGGGCGCGGGAGGGTTGGAGCCTTGGAGGGAAACGAGAACCAAAGAAAAAGAGGAAAAGTGGGGTTTTTCCCTCCATTTTTTTTACCTTTCCCTTTGCAGAATAAAAATTTAATCACTCCCACCTCAACACCTGGGGCGTTTTTTATAAGACCTTCTCCCTCCAACAATCTCCCCCAAAATTTTCACCTAGATTCCTCCCACCTCCATATCAGTTTCTCACATCTTCAATATGGCTGACGAGGTTTATGAAGGTGCCATTGGCATCGATCTTGGTATGCTAACTCACCTTGCTATCTTCCTTCATCCATCGAATGTGAAATTTCTGCACAACGTGCAGATGTTTTCTGAATATGGCTGACAACAAACTAAGGCACAACCTACTCTTGCGTTGCCAACTATGAAGGCACCAATGTTGAGATCAGTATGTATCTGCCTGTCATTGGACAATAGCCGCCATGCTTAACAAGTCCATTAGTCGCCAACGAGCAGGGTAGCTACACAACCCCCTCATTCGTTTCCTTCACCGACAAGGAACGTCTGATCGGTGAGGCCGCCAAGAACCAGGCTGCCATGAACCCCGAGAACACTATCTTCGACATCAAGTGAGTGCTCTCAACCCATTAGGTGCTCATCTGTTACATGCAGAATCTGATGCATCCCAGGCGTCTCATTGGTCGCCGATCTGAGGACCCTATTGTGAAGAAGGATATCGAGTCGTGGCCTTTCAAGGTTGTCGACCAGGGTGGCAACCCTGCCGTTGAGGTCGAATACCTTGGCGAGAGAAAGACTTTCACCCCTCAGGAAATCTCCTCCATGGTCCTGATGAAGGTAATTGAGTTTATCCAAAACCAATCATTGGGTCGGGTACTGACTTCTGATATAGATGAAGGAAGTTGCCGAGACCAAGCTCGGAAAGAAGGTTGAGAAGGCCGTTATCACGGTTCCTGCCTACTTCAACGACAACCAGCGTCAGGCTACCAAGGATGCCGGTGCTATTGCTGGCCTCAATGTCCTCCGTATTATCAACGAGCCCACTGCAGCTGCTATCGCTTATGGTCTCGGCTCCGGCAAGTCCGAGAAGGAGCGTAATGTCCTCATCTACGATCTGGGTGGTGGTACTTTCGATGTGTCCCTCCTCAACATCCAGGGAGGTGTCTTCACAGTCAAGGCCACCGCTGGAGATACCCACCTTGGTGGACAGGACTTCGACACTAACCTTCTGGACTTCTTCAAGAAGGAGTTCCAGCGCAAGACTGGAAAGGACCTGTCAGGTGACCCTAGAGCACTCCGTCGCCTGAGAACCGCCTGTGAGCGTGCTAAGCGCACTCTGTCCAACGCCACCCAGACCACAGTTGAGATCGATTCTCTGTTCGATGGAGAGGACTTTAACTCCTCCATCACCCGTGCCCGTTTTGAAGATCTTAACGCCAAGTCCTTCTCGGGCACCCTTGAGCCTGTTCAGCAAGTCCTGAAGGACTCCGGTCTTGAGAAGAGCCAGGTTGACGAGATCGTGCTCGTCGGTGGTTCTACCCGTATCCCACGTATTCAGAAACTTCTCAGCGATTTCTTCGATGGCAAGAAGCTGGAGAAGGTAAACATGCCACTTCATCATTACCTGTCGACCCATAAACTGACATGATTGACAGAGCATTAACCCCGATGAAGCTGTTGCCTACGGTGCTGCCGTGCAAGCTGGAATTCTGTCTGGAAAGGCTACCTCCGCCGAGACTCAAGATCTTCTGCTCCTCGATGTCGTTCCTCTGTCTCTTGGTGTTGCTATGGAGGGTAACATCTTCGCCCCCGTTGTTGCCCGTGGCCAGACTGTCCCTACCATTAAGAAGCGCACCTTCACAACCGTTGTTGACAACCAAACCACCGTCCAGTTCCCCGTTTACCAGGGTGAGCGTACTAACTGTGCTGACAACACCTCATTGGGCGAGTTTACCTTGGCACCCATCCCTCCCATGAGAGCTGGTGAAGCTGCCCTTGAGGTTGTCTTCGAGGTTGATGTCAACGGTATCCTTAAGGTCACTGCTACTGAGAAGTCGTCTGGCCGTACTGCCAATATCACTATCTCTAACGCTGTTGGCAAGCTTTCTACCACTGAAATCGAGCAGATGATTGATGGTAAGAGATTTTGCCTTTCTGCTAATTTCTTGCACTAACGACGCGTCTAGATGCTGCCAAGTTCAAGTCTAGTGATGAGGCTTTCACCAAGAAGTTTGAGTCTCGCCAGCAGCTCGAGTCCTACATCTCTCGCGTTGAAGAAATCGTCTCCGACCCCACTATGTCTCTTAAGCTCAAGCGTGGCAACAAGGAGAAGATTGAATCCGCTCTCAGCGATGCTATGGCCCAGCTTGAGATTGAGGATTCCACCCCCGAGGATTTGAAGAAGAAGGAGCTTGCTCTTAAGAGACTCATCACCAAGGCTATGGCTACTCGTTAAACTTTCCAAGCCTCATCTGCTATAATAATCGTCTATCTTGAGACCAGAGAGCCTGCCTTCCGAGTTACCCCCAAACCCTTACTTGCTATTTTCAGTGAAGAATCATTTCGCTACACATGAGATCAAAGACTATGATGTTACCTACGGACCCTTTCTGGATTGAGAGTGTTTATTTATGATTGGGGAGACAAATATGAAAAGTACATTTTTTCTCGTTCAAAGTTTTCTCAATGTTCGATCACTAGAGATGGACGTACATACAAGTAATTATGTAGCACTTCGGCATATTCAACACTTGAGTGTTTCACTGACCTTAAGAAAGCTTCGATGTTACCCATACCAAGTGGGTCGAATTCAATGTTGTTATGTAATATGTAGTATGCGCAGTATGCTACTGGCTGATCCAGCCTTAAGTAAGCCATGCAAAGGTTCAAGCTCAGAAAAAAGCTCGCATCTGTAGTGACCTTGTCAAGACCAAACCACTCTGCGAAACAAACAAACACCTATTCACCAAAGCAATGCGTGCGACTACAACATTTCCGCAAATCTTTGGCGCTCGATGCTTCCCTCCAATCGCTTCAGTAAACTCTTCCTCACCGCTCACCGGTTTGTATAGGCTCTCTGCTCAACACAAAGTTGCAGGCGTATTGGAACATCGCAAATTTTCCAACTCAGTTGCACTCCACAAGAAGAAGGATAAATTAAGATCATCTTCCAGCGCAGTAGCCGAAGATAGAGCCCTTAAAGTCTCACTACCTTCTGGTGACCCATACGATCTCTCCCAGCTGCATGATGGTATCTCTACTGCTTTGTCCAGCCTGAAAGATGATCTCTCCAAATTCCGTGGCGGTGGTCGGTTTGATATAAATGCCATTGAGAGCCTTCGGGTACAGCTCAGCAAGGCGAAGAAAGAGACACTGAGACTTGGAGACTTAGCCCAGGTCATACCGAAGGGCGGACGCTTGGTTACAGTCTTGGCTGCGGAAGAGGATGTATGGCAATTCCCCCTTTGCCTTTTCGACATAATTATGTTATATGATTGGCTGTTGAGCTTACTCTGATCTATTAACCTTGAGTTCTAGCACGTTAAATCAATTATCTCTGCAATCATCTCCTCCAACCTATCTTTGACCCCTCAAGTCGATCCTCACAATGCTCTCCAGCTCAATGTTCCCATTCCACCACCTACGAAAGAATCCCGGGAACAGGCAGTTACCATGGCCAAGAAAGCCATGGAAAAAGCGGTTACGGCAGTGCGGGATTCGAGAGGCGTTGTGCACAAACGACTCCAAGACATGCAGAAAAAGAAGACTGCTAGACCGGATGATGTGCGAAAGGCACAGGAACAGATGGAGAAACTCTCAGAGAAGGGGCAGAAAGATGTGAAAGAAATATTTGAAACAGCAAAGAAGGCCATGGAGAGAGCGTAAAACGAACTGGCAGTCAAGCCTCTTTCTCTCTCACAAGCGAGGCCAGAGGTCCTGAAAACTTACAGCTTCTAGAAACTGCTGTCCAGTCACCGAGAGTTACAACCGGGAGCCCAAGCCACATCGGCAACAGCAACGTATGTAAGAATAGATGACTAAGTATACATGAAGTACAGCAAAAATGAGGACGGTTAAACACGTCTTGTAGGACGGCCAGAGGCCAGTAGTGATTCCACCTTAGCAAAGAATTGCGTATCCTTTCCAGCTGTGAGATATGACCCATTGTTTTTCAAATTCGTCGCAATTTGATCTAGGACGGGAGATTGGGCAGACTGCTCACTTAAGGTCGCTGGATATTTACCCTGAACGAGCAATTCAATCAGAGTCTTTCGATCCTTTTCGTCAATTGGGCTGAAAGTGACTTCGATAGGCTCAACCAGATCTCCTTTTCGCTGTGAGAGCTTGTCCGCAAGTACTTGAGACAGCCTCCTTGCTTCTGCTACAGCAAATGACTTCTCCTCCTCGTCCAAGAAGCGGACGTATCTGCCTTGGAAAAGCCGCTTGCCCATTTCTGTAGGAGAAACATAACCGTGGGCGAAGCGTGCGCTGATCGACGACAGTGTCTCCGCAACTCCAGCTGTATGGGCACCGACATCGGTGGGCAAAGATGGCCACGTCTCCCTTAGAGAGTCTAAAGTGACGGGCTCTGGATCATAACGAACGGAGACGGGCTTTGCTTGCTCTCCAAGTTCATGTAAAACGTCTTCGATTCCTTGTCCATCGATCGCCTCATCTGTATCGACATCTGATGGGTTGCGTGTGCGACGTTGCGTCCGATCTTTGGCTGTGGACCTTTGCGTGGGAGGTCTCGGTCCGCGGCTCCGGGCAGCTGTTAGGTTCTGAGGAGTCCGAAGTCTCGGGCCCCTTATGATGTTGGTGGGCTGAGAACCGCTTCGACCGGCGGCTAAGGATCTTGCATCAATAACTCTTCGAGGAAGAGGACGATCGAAGCCCGTGTTTCTGGGATTCAGGCGAGCTGGTGGAATAATAGGCCTTCTAGGTCGAGCCTGAGAGGTTCCGCTTGAGTTCGAGGTGGAAGAGGTAGTGACTCCTCGAGTACCTGGGATGATTAGACCCAAACAGTGAGATTAGGACCAAACGGTGGAATATATATATATTCCCAAGTCAAATACAAGCCTCCAAAAGTGTTATCGAAGATTCATCGACACAACCTGAGCGAAGATATACAGGCAGCCCCATGGTTGGCACCACCACAAAATTTGCAGACTTACCGGATAGAGGTGTATTGGTTTGGGCCAACAAGTCAGTGGCAGAAAAGCAACGGATAAATGCATGAGGCTTTCCACCTAACTTAGCACACCCTTGGTGTAAAAGCGGAATCCGGGATTGAAACATCTTCGATGGCGAGGAAGATGTATCACAGCTGATTCCAGGTAAGTGTAAAATTATTTGTTCCAAACCGCGGATGCTGCATGATCACGTGCCTATGATTGCCTCGCCAGGCTATTATATCCTCCAGCATTCTTACCATCCAAACCCGGGTCAAAGTGTCTATTTCCACACGCTTCATTCATCGATTGATTCAAGACCTATACTCAAAATGCTTCGCCGTAAACCAACCGCAATAGCCGTGACATCAGAAGACCTTACTGTCTTCGAAGAAGCGCGACTTCGCAAGTTGACTCGAAGCAGCGGAAATACAAATCACGCCACGGACACCTATCCTGTCAACTTTGATCCAAACGATGAATTGAAACCTTTGCCTGGAGACAAGGCAAGAATAGTTCGTTCGCGTGAGGAACGTATAGGCGTTTCTCGTCATCATTGAACAACCGCAAATTTCTTTTTCTCGACTGCCTCACCAATTTTCTTTTGCACCTTGGACAGGTCGTTGCTGGTCTGCATGCTATCCAAATCCTACTCGCCCGCCTCACACAGCTTACTGTGGGAATTGTATTTCGAGAGAGCCCATTGTTCCCAGTACTTTATATCCTTGTCACGCGGCCAATGTCCATCACACAGAACCTACCTTTTATGCTCATTCTTGGACCACTCGAAGCCTTAGACGAGGCTGAAAATTATAAAGTTCATCTGAGATTCTTGAGTGTAGCATACCTGCGCTTTCCTGTTTGCACAAAGTCCAGATTCTCCAATCTACATCAGGTCGTGTTTTGCATTTACTGGACAAGAGAAAGAAAGATAGCCATTGCACGCCTCGAACAACCCGGTTGTGCTATTGTTGCAGATGGGAGGACACTAGAGCATCTACGCTCATGAAAAATATCGTTTTCAGACCACCAAAGGTGTGAATGATATGCTTTGTCCCCGTTGTCAGTGATTGTGTATGATACCGTGCAAGTGTACGTATAGAGGGTATAGAGATCAGAGCTTTGAAACAAGCACTCTCGACAGTATTTATGACAAAGTAAGAGGACGCTCATGGAAGAAATAAGTGATCTGCCGAACCAATACCAACCAGTAGGCACCAATCGCATGCAGAAGCAGCTGAACACGAAGATAACTGGTGCTGTTCTAGGCAAGAAGAATCTCATAAAGCTCATGAATGTTGTCGTTTGGAAACTTCCTCTGTGCCCAAGTCGAGAGAATAGTTCCAGCGTCTTTTCAACCCGTTAGGGTCATACACACTGGCAACGCTTTGTTGCCAGTCACGTGCAGTAAAAAGTACTTGTTGCCCCGTAAATTGAGCTTGTGGTAATGGGTGAGAGGGGGCGATTGGGCCAACTTTCGTAGTCGGTGTGCCATATTGGACTGGAAATTGACCTGCAATAGTTGACTGCATTGCCTGCGGATGATTACTCATGGCCATAGGCGGGGAATTGGTATTGACCGTGGGTGGCCCAATAGAGAATGCCATGTCCCATTGGCTTCATTCAAATTAGGTGTGTGTTAGTGATAATTGCGACAGATGAGATAAAACGGTAAGGGATTCACTCTTACTTGATGATACGAGTGGGATCCCAACTACTCTCATCGACTAAAGGCGCATCTATACTGTGGCTCGAAATCGACTGGGACGGGATTAATCCCAACGGCTGAAGCTGAGATGAATCCGACTTTGACACCTCAGTAACAGTAGACACTGGAGGGGTAATTTGATATGCTGCATGACCCACTCTATTCGGAAAATTGGAGGCTTGATTCAGTTGAGTACCGTAGCTCGAATCGAGCGGTGGGCTTGGGTGGTATGGCTCGGATGGGCTGCCATACGGGAATGTTGCCTTCAGTTCGAATGGTCGGTGGACATCAGCAGAAAATGCGAAACGCAAGGAATCTATTTGTGCTTGTAATTCTGGCATGGGCCAAGCAGTCGAGCATCGCTCAAGGATCCTCATGTGTCGAGTAAAATACTCCCTGGCGTCCGTATGGAAATTAGGATCTGGTGATGTTATAGCAACCTAGAGAACGGTTAGCGATAGCCCCAGGGAATTAGAAAAGAGTGTTGTGACTCACGAGGTGTAGCATTGTGCAGGTAAGGACAGTGTAGATTGTGAAATTTATGCCCCGTTGCATGAAAAGAAGGCCAGATAGGCCAAAGCGATTCAGAATGGCTTCCTGTAGTCTGCATAAGTACTTGGCAGAAGAATAACACAATGCCATGTGCATCTTCCAGCCTCCCCCGGCAGTGAAAGATTTTGACGCCAGTAGCTGAGGCCGATGTAGCAGAATAATCCCAAGATGGCAGTGGGAATGCATGTTCCCAACGAAATGGGAGGGAATCCAAGGAGGTGAGCCATCGGGCGGATAATTCACTTGTAGATCAGGAGGCAGACTCTGGAGCCAGTCAGTGAACAAAGGGTTCTTTTCGACAAATTTAGGGTTCGCTCCCCAGTCTTTTTGCTTCTTGATCTTGTGGTATATGTCCGCAATGATGCGAATATGGGATGCGTTCTTAACAAAATACGCATATTGCCTAGATCGATCAATCTCAAATTGATCAAGGCCCCTAATATCCAGTGTCGGACTCATGTTCACAGTGCTCGGGTCGACACCATAATCCGAGCGGCCTGGCATTGTCAGTATCCTACGAACCACGAAAGACTTAACGACATACCCTGAGGAGCACCGATCATGACCTCGACGACTAGGAGGGCTTGCCACACCCTTGTTTGCACCAAGCACTCGACAGGATTCAAATCACAGCGTCGTTCCTCCACATGAATGTTATTATGCTCATGTATATCCAAATCTTTGGCCATCGAGACAATAGTCTTGACTGTTTGCCATGAGCGGTAGTAATAGCCTTTTTTGGGCCGTGATTCTCGAGCCTTGAGAAGTAAGAGTAATGCCTGAATTGTGCTCAGCCGCGGCTCATCCATGAAGCTGGATTCGTGTCCTGGAATAAGATGTTGGTATTAGAAACAAAGGGTCCTTGACAGGCTGTAGAGAGGGGCTACACTGGCTCACTATTTGCTAACGCTAGCCATTGGGCTCCCTGAGCTGGATCATCTGACAATCTTCCAGCGCATGCAAACATGGCCTCGAGTAACAACGGTGAGATTGAGCTCCGTTCATGCTGCCACTGGAAGTACAGATGGGACCTATGAACAACCGGAACATAAGGGTGTATGTCATCGAAGTATATTTTAAGATATTTCATGACCTCATCATCTGACGGCATAAGCTCCGGTGGAATACGTATGGTGGAACCGGCACCAGTATTGAGAGGAGGGAGCTTCTCGTCCGCATCATCCTGAGTTGGGATTTCTGGCTCGGCTCTCTCCTTTCTTTGCTGTCTGATGTATGGCGCTGCGTGGCCGTAAGCTACCGGTTGTAACAGTTGCTAGGCTGCATAATGCTTACCAATGCCGGTCTCATCTATCCTGAGCTCGCCAAGAACTTCACTCAAATTCTCCGCAGTTGACGGGTCATGTTCGCAAAAAACGTCCCTTTCCGTAGCGCCTAGCGTCTGCGTATGGTCACCTGTGAAGCTTTGTGGTTGCTGATAGGAGTCATGCGATACAGACACATGCGACGGCCGTAGGTCATAAGCGGCCGACTGACTAGGAGTGGGCTGCGCAAATTGTGTATAGACACCGAGTTCATCGTGATAAGAATTTATGTGCCCCGCAGGATGTTGTCCGCTATCCCTGAAGGCTTGCGTTACTGCAAACGAGGAAACCGAAGATTCTGGTGGATTAGACGTTGCTAGAGAACCTCCGGAGTTTG